CAGTCCTGGATCTGGACTAGATCAGTCCTGGATCTGGACTGGATCAGTCCTGGAGACAGAGGTCTCCAGCCAGTACTTTATAACTTGATCTTCTCTTTCATCAACAGACAGGTGGCGCGCTTAACACTAATACTCCACTCCACGTCCATCAACAACAACAAGACAGGGACAGTGATAAAAGTGATAAAGGAGGTGACGGAGGAGGAGAAGGAGGAGCAGGAGGAAGAGAATGAGTAGGAGGAGAAGGAGGAGCTCCTGCTCTGACCTGGCTGTCGTCCCCAGTCCCAGGACTCGATGATGGCGTGATGGACAGAAGCTGACGTCTCTTCTTCCTCTTTCTTTTCTTTGTCGTTGGCTTCGTCTTTCTTCTGAGCTCCAAAGCAGTCACAGTCTTCTGAACAACAACAAACAAGATCAGGTGAAGCCCCGCCCACGTCGTCTCTGACACGTCAACACCTGCTGACCTACCAGGGTGAGCAGCATCTTCTCCTCCACTGAAGGTGATCTCCTCGTCTTTGACCATCTCGTTCCACATCTCACTCAGACCCTCAGGAGAAAAGGCTCTCTGTGGACCAGTCAGAGAGCACAGTGACATGAGCTTGTTTTTTATTAGCAGGAAGCTAACAGCGTTCCTCTAACGAGTCAAACCTTGTCACCTCTGACATTGTCAAATAGACAGTGACATCATGGGTCACATCCCAGGATGTTGACATTCATTTTGTTCTGGGAAAAAAAAGTGAGTAGTGACACACAAACCTGTAAATCGATCTTCAGCCATTTGTCATGAAACCTCAGCTGAGCATCCAGGGTAAATGATGGAGAAGGCATCTTCTCCCCCCCACCCCCGGCCGCCGACGCAGCCAGCCTGAGACACAGAGAACAGACGTGAAGGTCAAACACAGACACCCAGCACAGACTGATCAGCCTCTGCTCTGAATACACTGATGTCTCTTCTCAGTTTAACCCCCCAGTGGACAGGTGAGGAGTTCACACCAGGTTGTTCTGACTTGTTTCAGCAGCAGCATCTACATTTGTTCATCCAAACATGGGAACGGTTCTACACAGTTGAAGTCACACTGTTCACTGTGTTTTCAATGGAGATGTTGTGTCAGTGTCAAAGCTCTGCTCACTTTCTGTTCAGCTGACTGTGTGAACTATGAAGAAAATACCTACACTACATTTGCTTTGTTCAAGGTGTATCATATATGTGAATGAGAAGAAAATAAAAATAAAAAATTGAAACACTCGAGTTTGAGTGTTTCAATTTTTTATTTTTATTTTCTGGCCATAGCTGGTCATAAAAAGCAGTAACGTGACGTGAAGATGGTTGTATTTGAGTTAGTTTAGTGAGACTAGGTTATCAACAAGGTTAAAGATGACCGCGAACATCACCTTCATTATGTTAAAGAACGTCAACACGCGACTAAATGCTCTCATTGTAACAACCCATGTTGTCCACCAAACTGTACCGTATGGCGGTGTGTTGTGTGCTAATATGAAGCGTCTTGTCGGTGCTGTGGTGTTTAAAAACACATCCGTGAGCAGCAGCCACTCATCACAAAAATCAAACGTCAAAGGATTTCAGTTATATGAAGCAGAGTCAAAGAGTTGGTCAGTGCTAACAGTCCGGGTAAAGTTTTCTATTTCATCAAATATCTTATATATAAGAAAATGTAAAACATTAAACGCATCGGCAGACATTGACACAGCATCATTAATGCAGCATCATTAACGCAACTGAAGCTAACGCTAGCTTAGCATTTAGCCCGGTGGGTAAGGCTAACATAGACAGAGCTAGCTTGAAGCTAAAACATATTATGTGTGTTCTGTGGAACATTGCAGAGTATAGATCAGATTAAAACATTTGGATTTCCAAAAACAGGCGGAGGAGGGCGGTGTCAGTGTACCTGTTTTCTCTCTGCTCTTCTCTCACTTCTTCTCGTCGCTCGGCTGCTCTTCTGCGTTAAAAAACTCAATGCGCGTCATCGCGCGGCCTGTTTTGATTGGCAGCTCCCCGCAGCTGTACTCTACTTTTTTTGCTGTATCGTCTTGATGCGTTTAATGTGACACCCGAACAGCCCCAAAGAGCGGGGCTTCATTGAAGTTTATATTAGTACACCGTTGATACTCCGCCCCTAAATGCTGACTGCTGTTCTAAATCGAACACAACTTTGGTCAGCGGTCGGGGCGTGGCCGCTGTTAGGGCGGAACCTATGCAGAGCACAGGCGCTGTTTTAAGAAGCTAAAGTAGCACTTATGTCCTTTTCTAACGTATTCATTTTCGTAAATACACTTATTTACCTTCATACAATTACTTATATACCTAATAGAAAAGTAGTAATGTCGTCATTACACCACGTTTGTCAATGATGTATACAATGACTATCGTTGTAACAAATTATGTCTAATAATTTGATCATTTTCAGATTGCCCTATTCTGTGACAGATAATTCATTTACATAAGAACTACTCATGTTACTATCACTGGTTATAATATTGACAACCATCATTAAAACAGAGATGAAACAAGAATTCAAAGTCGTTTCACACACGTAAACAACCTCCTCGTTGGTAAAGCTGCTGTGGAGCACCGCGCATGCGCAATGTAGGCTTTTAGTGACCATTAGGAGGCGTTCATGGACAGTGGGATTCTGTGGTTTTGTCTTTCAACATATTAACGCTCTGTGACAGCGGTACTTCCGGGGTTTTGTGTATGATTCTCACACACCGGGGGACGACATGACTCTGTCAGGGATGAATTCCACCTCACATCCACTTTCTGGAGTCTTTCTCGCGGTTGTCTCTAGTTTCTTTAACGGCTCCACCTTCGTCCTGCAGAGAAAAGGAATCCTCCGGTGTCGCCGCACAGGTACGACTTCCGTGCAGACAAATGACAAATAAGTGACCCCGAAACTGAGCTCCAGACAATCGTCTGTTTTCTACAATTACCTGTTTAATGTTGTTGTGTCTGCGCTCCAGGAGTCTCCTATCTGACTGATGGGGTATGGTGGAGCGGCACAGTGGCCAGTGAGTAATAGCGCCATCTAACGACTTCCTACAGCCATACAAAAGACCCGTTCATTCAAGCTGGCAGTGGAACATTGTTTCTTCCTCAAATATATTCACACAAGAAAAGATCCCAGTCAGGAGGCGTGGAAACAACTACAATTATACAATAAACGAAATCAAAATCATTAAAATCATTAAAGCGGCGAAAATAAAATCCAGAAAACTCCGCTGTGACTTTGTTTTCTTCTTCTGTTTCTTCAGTAAAAACAAATCTAACATTTTCCCTCAGTGATCATTGGTCAGATTGGGAATTTTCTGGCCTATAACCTGGCTCCTGCTGCGATGGTGACACCACTGGGAGCTGTGGGAGTTTTGTTTGGGTGAATAATGTAAATAAGTTCATCTTAGTTGTGTTCTGGAGGCAGAGACCATGAACGCCTCATCCATACCATTACGTCTGTGTGTGTGTCTGTGTGTGTGTCTGCAGGTCTGTCCTGGCCTCCTGGATCCTGCAGGAACATCTGAATCTGCTGGGGAAACTGGCCTGTGTCCTGTGCTGCTGTGGATCAGTGGTTCTCATCGTTCACGGCCCAAAGTCAGAGTCTGTGACGTCCAGACTGGAACTGGAGCAGAGACTCTCAGACCCAGGTCAGTCTGCACTCTGATATTATTATTGGAATGAGGTTGTTGAAGCGCCGACGTTACCCTGGTGTTCAGTTGTTGATTTTCTCTGTGTAGAACATCAGCTGAACTTTGATCAGGTTCACAGCAACATTTCTCCTCTGTGTTCCTACAGTGTTTGTGACCTTTGTGGTCCTGGTGCTGGTTCTCCTCGTGGTTCTGATCGTCTGGGCCGCTCCAGTCCATGGATCCTCCAACATCATGGTGTACGTGTCCATATGTTCCCTCCTGGGAAGCTTCACTGTTCCCAGCAGTAAAGGACTGGGCCTGGCAGCTCAGGACATCTTTGGAGGTGGAGCAGCCAGTGACGGAGGAGCCGTGGCTCTCTTCCTGGGCCTGCTGGGGGCGCTGGTGGTCAGCATCCTGGTCCAGTTCTTTTTCATCAATAAGGCACTACAGTGTTTCAGCTCCAACATTTTTGAGGCCATCTACTACGTGACCTTCACATCCACAGTGATGGTGGCCTCGGCTCTTCTCTTCAGAGAGTGGAGCACTCTGACCTTCACTGACGCCCTGGTCACTGTCTGTGGCTTCGCCACAGTGAGCGTGGGTGTGACTCTGCTACGGATGTCTCAGGAAGCTTCCATCACCTGGAAGAAGAAGGAAGGAGGAGAGAAGAGAGAGTGAGGAGTCTTCTCCTGTGGACACCACCTCCAGATGTCCAACTTCTCACCTCACCTGTGGTCTGTGTCCTGCTGAGATGTAGCCTGACGTCATTGTTCACTGTGACTGTAACAAAACACTAATAAAAACATACAAAGTTTCAGGTTTTCCTATGAATGTGATCATCAGTGTGTGAGACTGCAGACTCGGACCATGAACGCATCATCGAGTGTCACATGGCACCGCACTAAAAATCTGGAACATTGTTGGTTCTCTGACAAAAGTAACAGAACAAACCCACACGAGGTGAAGAACTCTCTGGAATTTGACCAAATAAACTTTAAAACTCAATAAACACAGTCACGAGTACGAGACAAATAAAAATGTAATAAACGTCTGGTTTTCACAAAATCTTCAAACAAATAATAATAATAATAATAATAATATTAACTAAAAATATTATGACTAAAATCAGATAAATGTTTGTCATGTAACCTATTCTCGGTCTATTTTAATCATATCGTTTTGTTTTTGTTTTAAATGATTTAAAATAAAATTGTTTAATTTTGGGAACTTGTTTCAGTCATGTCCGACCGTGAACGATAAACTATGACAACACTCGTGAATAAATATTAAAACAGTTTCAACTGGTGTTTATTTCCATTGATAAACCCATATTTTATCAGAATGACAGCACCATCTCACTTTTAAACTCTCCGTAGGGAATTCGACTTTCATCCTTCAGGGTTGCCGGAAACGGTGCGGACTGTCGCGGGTGCCGTCAGTCATTAGCGTGTGTCGTACATACAGAGTCGCCTTTCACAGAGGAGCGGTTGCTGTTTATCAGTGTGTAAAGGTTAGCTACAGCTAACTGTTAGTCTCTCGGTCTCAGCGATACCACCAAACTCCGTGTGAACAGGTGAGTGGTTGTCTTTAACAGTGAACAATGTTAACTTACTCACTATTTAGCTACAGCTCCGTTAGCTTTAGTCATAGCTACCGCTGGAAGCTAAGCTAACGAGGCTAATCCAAACTAAGGAGCAGCATGGGTTAAAGATTGAAGTCGGGTTGATGATACGTACAACGTAAAGTTATTTGGTTAAATTGAGGTAAAAAAAGGAGCAGGGAACCGTGTGTCCATTTTTTAGAAGACAGAAAGAGTTAAAAAAACCGACATTCAGGTGTGGAGATACTTCCGGGATTATTCAAAGGTGTGTGTACACTCTCTCTCTCTCTCTCTCTCTCTCTCTCTCACACACACCGACAGACAGACAGGTGTGTCGTCTCTACCTCATCTCAATATCACTGTGTGTGTGTGTGTGTGTGGCTTCTTATTCACAAACTGATGGATTTTACCGCAAACTTTTCCAGTGTTGAGCTTCCACTCTGTGACGTCACCTGTGGACATGGTAGGTGATGGGGATGACAGTAGTGATGTAGGCTTAACTTTGAGTTGTTGTTTTTTTTTTTCGAGAATTCCTTAGCAGCTTGAGCTAACCATTAACTTATAACATGTAGCTCGAGGAAAATGTTTGTTCTGGCGGAGTGAAGGTCTTTAAAGAGCTAACGATGTGACGTCAGACGACCTGCCACTGAGCTATGGCTTTTAATATGAGAAGATTAGTCTTGAAGCAGGTTAGGAAGTGAACTAATACTAAACCAACAGGAAGTAGCACCAGGAAAACAAAACCATCCGTTGTTGTTTTTTCTGTTTTTTTATTTTTTTTTATTTGATGACAGGAAGTGTTGTTGTTGTTGTCAGTGTTTGACCTCTCTGAGAACCACAGCCATTGTCACGCTAACAAAAATTGTGACAGGCCCCGCCCACTCACACTGGTCCAGAATGGTACTGAGTCCTTCTGTGGTCCAGAACTTCACCTTTACAAAAATGTTTTAAACTCTAAGTCCATTTGTTTGTTTGACTGTAGAACTGCTACAATGATTGGCTGCTGTGGTTCTTCTCTGTTCTCAGGGGTGATCAGGGCCTACAACTGTAGTCTGGGTCAGAACCTTCACTGCTGGGCTTTAAATGTGACAGAAGCCTTCAACGGCTCATCCAGCCCGGCCATGGCTCAGGACCGCGGCAGGTACGACTTCTACATCGGCCTGGCCCTGGCCATCAGCTCCAGCATCTTCATCGGAGGAAGCTTCATCCTGAAGAAGAAGGGTCTGCTGCGTCTGGCCCGGAAAGGCTCCATGAGAGCAGGTGTGTTGTTGTGAAACTGAGTGAAGAAGTCTAACCTGTCAGGACAGGAGCCTAAAACCAGGACCTGCTGGTCTGGTTCTGCAGGGAGTGTCTGTTTGTTTAGTTCCTCCTCCACAAACCAGGACAGTCTTCATGATGTTCCAAATAGTACTTCTTCTGAGCAGTCATCTGACAAACGGCCAGAGGGGGGGGCAAGACATTGGATCTGTGACCACAGGAGGCAGCAGTGGACCACATCTGCTGCCTCCTGTGGTCAGTCTGTGTCTAAAATCCCTGCTTTTCTCCATGAGGTTTGGTGCTTATCACCAGCCCCTGAACCCTCCCTTTAACCACCAGCTGTTGTAGATTAAATTAACTCCGCCCTCACCGCCTGCTCTTACTACATCAAAGATCTCACGTCGATGATCACATGATCCTGTTTTTGTACTGCAGGTCAGGGAGGCCACGCCTACCTGAAGGAATGGCTGTGGTGGGCGGGGCTACTCTCAAGTAAGTGCTGATGTCACAGTTACTGATTCACAAATGAGTTTAATACAGACGGAATGTTTGTGCAGCAGCAGGGGGCGCTCAAACAACTACACTGACACCACAGTGTGTGCATTAAGGAGGTTCTTTCTTTTTCCTCTTCTGTCCTCCAGTGGGCGCCGGTGAGGCAGCCAACTTTGCAGCCTACGCCTTTGCTCCGGCGACTCTGGTGACCCCTCTTGGAGCTCTGAGTGTCCTGGTCAGGTACCGATTCCACCCTGGTTCCTGTTATGCTCAGTGTTTAAAAACATCACAGCCAGTGACGGTTCTTGTTTGATTTTGTTTGGCTCCAGTGCCGTGCTTTCCTCCTACTTCCTGTCGGAGCGCCTCAACCTGCACGGAAAATTAGGCTGCCTGCTGAGCATTCTGGGAAGTACCAACATGGTGATCCATGCGCCTCAGGAAGAGGAGATCAACAGTCTGGAGGACATGGCCCACAAACTGGTGGACCCAGGTACTGCTGCTGAGCCTCTGCTTCCAAACTGTACCTGTGCTAGCTGTTTGTCAGCTGTTAGCATCATGAAGGTTAGCTTCAGCAGCTAAATGTTGGTGTTTGTTTCTCCCAGGATTTTTTGCGTTCGCCTCGTTGGTCGTCCTCACGGCCCTGGTTTTCATTTTCGTGGTCGCTCCTCGTCACGGTCAGACCAACATCCTGGTCTACATCACCATCTGCTCCGTGATCGGGGCGCTATCCGTGTCCTGCGTCAAAGGCCTGGGCATCGCCATCAAGGAGGCGCTGAGCGGCAGGAACGTGAGCCGGAGTCCACTGGCGTGGCTCCTCCTGCTGGGCCTGCTGGGATGTGTCAGCACGCAAATCAACTACCTGAACAAAGCGCTGGACATCTTCAACACCTCCCTGGTCACGCCCATCTACTACGTCTTCTTCACCACCTCCGTCCTCACCTGCTCCGCCATCCTCTTCAAAGAGTGGGAGCACATGGCGGTGGATGACATCATTGGAACGCTGAGCGGCTTCCTCACCATCATCGTGGGAATCTTCCTGCTGCACGCCTTCAAGGACGTCAGCATCAGCCTGGCATCGCTCGCCGTCTCCATAAGGAAGGAGGAACGCGCTGCCGTCTTCCCTCACACGGCCAACGGGGCGGCGTCAGGAGCAGCCGCACACGGATCCTACCAACTCCTGCGGGAGTCCACAGAGGACGTGGACGACAGAGACGTCAGTTTGTCCTTTGACAGCGTCTCCAGGAGGAACGGCGCGATGATGTCATCCATGGAACACTGAGGAACTGAATGATTTTTAAACCAAGAGTTGTACGGACCAATCACACGCTACGGAAGATGATTTAGGAAACGGGGAAAAAGGTGAACTCTTAGAATTAACTGATTATAGTCATGTTGAATCCCAGAATTCCAATTTGAAATTAGAATAATGACAGGGCAGAATTCTGGGACTGCACTGTCATGGCTTTTGACTGTAATGGGAACTGTGACATTCCCAGTGTTCCTGTCTTCATACCCTGACAGTTCCTGATGGCGTTCCGTACGTCGGTCGTTGATGGTGAGGACAATCGGTGATGTGGACCAGTGGATTTGTTTGCCTTATTTAAAGGGACAGTTTCAGAAACACAAAGGTGCTTTAGCCTGATGTGAGTGTGCAGTGAGTGCCCCCTGCTGCTGGGAAGAGCAGCTTCACTTCCCCAGAGTCACTACAAAGTCTTTATTTCTGCAAAGGTGAGGATGTAGCATCGTTGTAGCGCTCCACCCACTCTGACTACATCAGTAGTTATTTCCTGTTCATGACTCCGTCCACATTTAGCTTCTCAACATGTTGATTTTCAAACTGTCCCTTTAGTCTATTCCTGTGTAGCCTGTAAAAATGAGCTTTTTTAAACAGAGCTTTTGTTATGGGTGAAAAGTCGTGCACTGATTTTTAATTTCTATCAATTTAACAAGAGTTTTATTTTCTCTGGACCTGAGGCTGCGCCCTCTGATGACGACACGTTGGATAACAACGTTGATTATTTGTTCACTCTGAAAATTTTTGTAACAAACACTGAAGACGAAGCTGCAGATTTGTTACATATTTATTGAATTAAAATGATTTAAAACAGTGAATAAATGCTGAAACACTATTAGCCGCGTTAGCTTCGTTCTTTCTGATCATGCAGTCGAATCATTTCACCTTCACCCACAGAATGTTCACTGCTGGAAACAGTTTCAAAATAAAAGCACTTCCCTTTTCTAAAGCTTTCTGCAAAAGTATAAAACATTTTTTTTTCTATAAAAGATTATTTTTAGATCTGGAATAAGGCACGTGTGAAAATAAAGTTCTTATCTGACACCACTGTGGCCCCGCCCCCTTCAGTCAGGGGCACAGTGACGGTGAGCACTCAGTGGCGCCCTCAGCTGCTGGCCAGCGACTGGTGGATGGGCGGCTGGAAACAGCGTACGTGCTCCACGGGCATGTTCTCCCCGTCTCCGGACTTCAGGTACTTGTTCAGGATGGCGAAGATTTCATTGTTCAGGACCTGGAACCTCCTGATTCTGTCCACCATCTTCTTCAGGGACTGAAATGAGTTCAAACAAACAAAGAGTGAGAAGTGAAGAGGTGTTGAGCAGAGGAAGAAGGAGCGCGGTCACGTGATCCGCACGTCTCACCACACTCTTGATGATCTCGTCTTTCCCGTCGTGTTTCTGGACCTTCAGCAGGTGGTAACTGAAGTCCAGGATGTCGAAGCGTCTCTGCTGACTCAGCAGGGCGATGATCATACAGCCGGCCCAGTGGAGCCCGTCTCCGAAACACTGTCTGGAGAGCAGACAAACGGAGAGAGAGAGAGTGATCACCAAGAAAAGATCTGACAGTAGAAAAAGTCCATCAAACACAAACATTGGCCACAAAATACTGTTGGAAAAAAATTTATTAAATCATGAATTTAATTAATTAAACTTTTTGATGTTTAAAGCACTTGGCAGAACAATAGTTTCCAATAATTATATTTAGAAGCCTGCCCCCTTGTGGTGATGGCCACCCACCCATTAGTGGTGGTGGGTAGGAAGATTATGGTTGTGTTTTGGCAGTAACGCCCTTCTACCTGATGGTGGCGGTCACTTACTCCACAGTGAACTCGTGAGCGCCCACTGGGATGCAGTACACAAACTGCATGGCGCTCCACAGGCGGTGAAACTCCACACATTCGTCCACGTGCATTACGCCATTACTGGGCAGCGGCCCGCGCCAGATGGGGTCATCGAGGAACCCACGGACACGGGTGAGGATGACCTCGAACATGGACAGACCGCAGCACAGACGCTCTTTGGTCAGGAGGTCGCCCTCACGAGCGATGGCAATTTGCTAAAAGAGCAAGAAAAAGTTTTGAGATCATCTCAGGCCGAAGCGGGTGAAGAGCGCGGGTGAAGAGCGCCACCTGGTCCGGTACCTGAGGTGTTCCCAGACGCTCGATCAGCGGAACCATGTGCAGAGCCGTATATTTAGCCTCCAGCCGCTTCATCTTAGCATCCAGCCGTTCACCTTCTGCAGCAGTGGACGACAAACAGACAAACTCTGACTTCAGTATGAACACATCGCCCCTGCAGGTTGGCAGGGGAACTGCAGATTAAAATTCAGAATAAAAGACAGATTTTATGAAATGATCAGAGTGAGGGTGAGCTGAGGGGGGTTGACCTTTGACATGGACCCTGGGCAGAATGTTCTGGAAGGGGGCAGCGTGGAGCAGGTCGCCGACTTCCTCCTGAGACTGAAGAGACAAACAGAAGAAGAGAGCCATCAGTTCCAGGGACTCCAGCACATTCCGAGGGTTAAAGATGATGATGATGATGATGAAGATAAATAGGAGGGATCGGTACCAGACTCTGTTCACTGAGCAGACAGAAGAGCAGAGCGTTTCCCACCTCCCTCAGGTTCTGGAAACAAACGGTCTTCAGCTCGGCGTACTCCACGATGTCCTTCAGCTGGTGGTGGAAGAACTCCAGGATTCCTGGGCAGGGAATTTAAGACACATTCCTGTCATTGAGGACAGATGGACAGCAGGAGGCGCACTTCAGTGAAACATCATCATTGGTGCTCAATGATGATGTTTCTTTTCAAGCACATTCAAGGTCCATTTTAAACATTTCCTGATACGTTCTTTCTGGTTCGAAGGTTTTAAATCCTGGAACGTTGGGAACTCCAGAGAAGAAAAGTGACTTCTTCACTTCCTGTGTTCTCACCTGGAGAACCGTACTCATGACGGGGGAGTCTGCAGATCTTGGGCATCACCTCCATCAGGGTCTTCACATACTGCATGATGGTTCCCTGGAGCTGCACGTATGGACACACACACACATTACACAGAGTGAAGGTCTTCCTCCACCTCCCAGACCGACCGACCGACCGAACCCCCCACCCCCTCCCTCCATCTGACTCACCAGGCTCTTCACCACCTTCAGCAGCTCCTCCATCACCACGGCGATGCCCTGGTAGCCCAGCAGACGACACATGACTTTGATGTGGGGGGGGCCCAGGAAGTTCCTGTAGGAGCTGAAGATGCTGCTGTAGGCCAGGTTCAAGGTCTGAGCACAGAGAAGGTCAGAAGGTCAGAAGGGAAACACTCTTGGTTCCAGTACTGTTAAGAACAGTACCGGAGTGCTGGTGCTGTTGTTGGTACTGGTTCAGACCTTTGATCCGTACAGATAGTGAGGCTGAGCGTTGGGGGGTTTGTCCCTCTGGAACTCCTGGGAGAAAGGAAGGATGGTCCTCACAAACCTGGAAAACACACACACAACATACACTCCTAGTCAGCCAACGTTTCCTTGGAAACCAACAGCAGTGATAAAGGACCTCGGCCACAGGGGGCAGCAGAACGCCCTCTCTGCCTTGTCAGTGTGCAGCATCTCCCGCTCACCTGTTGGTGGAGCCGTTGTAACAGTAGTTGGGCAGGAAGTCGTAGTTGAGTTCCCAGAAGACATGCAGCGTGATGCGTCCGTAGGGGGCGGAGACATTGTGGTTGGCCTCACGGAACATGGCGTCCAGACTGTCCAGGGTCAGGAACTTGCTCAGGAGCTTGTGGGTCATCCTGTTGATGTCCAGGAGACCTTCAAGTTCCTGCAACCAAAACCAAAGGTTGATCATCGGGGTCTACACCTCAACTGTTCTCACAGCAGCGCTAACGGCTAACGGTTAGCTGCTCTACCATGATGGAGGTCAGGTCCTCGCTCTCGAAGCGGTTGATGGCCAGCTCCAGAGACTTGGCCAGAGCCGCCGACACTCTCTGAGTGATGAGTCTGTTCAGGTCGATGGAGCGGCCCAGGAGCTGAGGAGAGACGGAGGTCGGAGGTCAGAGGTCAGAAGGTGGAGGTCAGAGGTCACAAGTGTAACTTTGCCCAACAGTACCTGGACGTGGCGCTGCTTCAGCAGCGTCTCGTAGCGGTTGGAGGCGGGCCAGGGAATGTTGGCGCCCTGATTCTTACAGTCCGCTCTTAAACGTTTGTCCAGCAGGAGGCTGAGGAGCAAGAAGAAGAAGAAGAAGCGCTGTTTATTTACTGTGCAGTGAGCGCCCCCTTCATGTCAAAGAAGGACGAACAATGTCCAAACCTGTGATTTTAGCTGAGAATCAGAGGAGGAAACTGAAAGTACTGAGGAGCAAGCTGGTCATCAGTACTACATCAGTACTACACTGTCTTATTTTTCAGACCTGGTACTTCTTACCTTCCTGCCAGGATCTTGTAGTACGCAAAGATCTGATCAGCCAGTTTGTAAACAAACTGATCGAAGCACAGATTCACCTGGAGACAGATGATGACATCATCACTATGACGACCATCACCGTTGGTATGTAGGTGTGTGTGTGTGTGTGTGTGTGTGTGTGTGTTTGTGTTGTACCTCGGCTTCGATCTCGTCGTAGAGAAACTGTTTCTTGAACTTGGTCAGTGCGTAGTGAGCGCTGTCGTTGTATAAATCCAGCGGATACAGGACGTACCTGCAGGGGGTGCCAGAGAAACTGGTTCAGTTAAAATGTTAAAATCCTGTGACTCCATCCTGACTTCTTGATATTATGAAACCTTGACCTTTCAACCCTATACCCTGAATGTCTGACCCTCAAACCTGCACCAATTAAAAACCCAGAACCCTGGAGACTCACTCCATCATGGAAGCCTCCTTGGTCTCCAGGATGTGGTCCGTGAGGATCCAGGGCATGGACATCTCAATGGGGAACTGGATTCTGCGTCCCATGGTGAGCTCCAAGAAGAACTCTCTGAACCAGAGCTGGGAGAGGTCACAGCACTGCTGCAGGGTTTCTGAAGAACCACACAAACAGAAGGTTCTGATGTGAACACCATCACTCAGCTG